GGAGGAATATTAAAGTGGTTAAAGGAGGAAAATGATGGGTATTTTTTCAACCCTGATCAAACTGAGGGTATTTTCAATACTGCTCGTGTCTTATACTGTATTGAGATGTTAATGGAAAGAAAAACGATACTTACAAATGATGATTATCAGGATACTTCAGCTACCATCAAAAAACTTCTTAGGTTTCCCTCTGACCCACATACATTACCCTCTCAAACAACTTTGGATTTGATTGTCAACAATCCCTTGACAAATTCGTCCTTACCGAAGTACTTAATCAACATTCTCTTGAATTAAAAACGGATATAGAACAACGATTTCGGCTTACCAACATTCGTGAGCTAGCAACTGATCGTACTCCATTACTATCATTCATGTTCTATACTGGTGCTCTAACATATAAACCGGGATCATTAAAATATGAACTTCAGATCCCGAATCGTATTGCCAAAAGAGAGTTTATTGCAGAGGCACTTAAGATTTATGATTGGAAAGAAGAGGATTTAATGTCTGTGCGGAATGTTTGCGGATTTTAGAGTCAGATAATAAAATTGAACCTCTTTGCCGATTTATAGAAAAGACTTTACTTAAACCATTGAAGGACAATAGTGTTAAGCATTCAAATGAAGAAGCATTGAAACAAGCTTTTATGGATGCTTTAATTCTCACTCTTCACGCGGACATTGAACCAGAATTTCGGGTGCATACTCAAAATTTAAGTAGAAAAGCAATTGATCTAGTAAAGACAAGTACCGGAAGAAGAATAGCAATCGAATTTGATAATATTAAGACAGAATGTGTTAAATTAAATGGAGTCACAAATAGCTGGCAGGAATTAACTCAGGTGTCCCGATTATTGTCAGAAAAATCAGATGAAGAAATTTTAAGCCTTGAAATCAGTGATAAATATCGGCCTAAACAAAAGACAGTTCGTGAAGTTTTGGAACATAAAATTAAAGTGAAAAAAAATGAGTACTTAATGCCTTTAAAAGAACGAAACGATGCAGAATTGAGTTGTATGTTTATTGTTTTGAGAGTGGGTTTGCATCGTCTAATTAGTAGGAGGGCTTATTGTATTGATGAATAATTTGTAATCTGTTCACTTATGTTATTGACTCTCACTTCGAAAAAATAATATAGTAAATAAAAATCGTAATTTCATAAATGTGTTATTGTTCGAACGCAAAAATTATTGCATTTAATTATATGATTGGTGTTTAATTATGATTGGATTACCATCAAATGTGCATCTGCTAAATGAAGAATCAAGATGCGCGAATGTAGAGTGCAAATCAAAACCTTCCTCTCTCCGGCTCTTAATGAAGCAAGAACGCAGGATGCAATGGAAATATCATCACACAAGCTTTGCGGAAGGAACTTAACACCATTACACCCGAATGTGATCAAGATCTCCAATTATTTGAGAGCGACACTGATATTGGACTTACTCTGGCTTTACAAAATAAAGACACCTCCTCTTCAGCCAAAAATGCTATTGAACCAACTTCTGAAATATGCTCCAAGTGCTTCGAAGCCATCTCTCCAGAA